CTCCATGCACGATTTTGCAGTGTTATCCATCAAAGGAATTCCGTATGATATCGACTATCTTCTGAGGCACGCCGTAGTGTCGAAGAAGCTTCCATAGTGTTGTTCTGTGCACGCTATCAAATGCCTTTTCGTAGTCAATGAACTTGATGTAGAGTGATGAATTCCATTTAATTGCTTGTTCCACAATGATCCGTAGAGTTGCGATTTGGTCTGTACACGATCTATCCTTACGGAATCCTGCCTGTTGGTCACGATTTTGAGCGTCTACGCAGTCCTTCAACCTGCTTAACAATAAATAAAATTATTCAAATTACTTTTGCAGTATATGTAACAGAATAATTATGAAAGTAACTAGGTGACGTAAAACTTTAATATTGTTGTAATTAATTATTCATAAAGTTTATTTAGAATATGAACGAAAATTTCATTATTCAGAAATGGATCCATAATTGTTAAATGACAATTTTTAGAAAACTGGACGACTTTATGATTATAATATGTTTAACCAGTAGGGAAGCAGAGAGCATTAATACATGGTTTTTTATTTTGTTACATTTACAATGGAAGTTGTACTATTATCTCAGTTAGTTAGAGAAGTTACTTGTTACGTATGGAGTGTCATTATAAACTGATAAATTAGTTTTGCCCATTTTCTGTCATTTTCTTTGTGGTTGAGTGGTATAAGGCGTTGGATCTGTGCTGCAGTGTTAATGGGCGCCGGATCGAGTCGCGAACACATAATAATTGTTGACAATCACTCGAGTCACACCATAACCATCAGGTGACACTGTGCATATTCTCACAGCGTTCCGTGTCTCTTGAACACTTGGTGCAATGCACAACACCGACCAGGGACAGTGCCTTACCTAGTCCTATTCACAGACAACATGGTCTCACAGTATGGTGATGAGTGATTAAGTGAGACGGTGAGTGAATGAATGAGTGAGAATGAGATGGTTTCGATCAGGTGTTGTGACTGTGTGATCTGATTCGATGTTGATAGTGCATGTGGATGTGAATGTGCCTATGCATATGCGTGTGTGTCTGTGTCGACTGCGTATTGTATTGTGTATAGTTTTAGTAAGCCCATTGAACTATGGTATTATTTGTCTACTCATTGTAATTTCGACACTTAATCCACTATGTAAACTTCTGTGTGAGTCTGATTGTGCGCGTGTCTGCACTTCAATCAATCTGTAATCTATTCTCCCATTGGTTGTAAGTCACAGGTAATCAATAATTTATGCATATTCGATTAACACTGACTAATATATATATATATATATATATATATATATATATATATATATATATATATATATATATATATATATATGTGGATTTTTAACACTCATACTCAGTTGTTGGTGATTTCCCCTTGTGGCTTGTGGATTATTTTTAACTGATGCTTAATAATAAACGATGTCTATAACTAGTGTTGTTCAGGCTTTTGAATAATCATCTCGAGTGAATTGATAATTCTATTGGAAGATTAAGCCTGCTTTAAATACTCAGTTAACGGGATGATATTATTATTATTATTATAAATATTATTCATTGGAATCAGATATAAATGAAATTAGCTTGAACAAAGTTGGTTGATGAGCAGTAGTCACATTTGGAACATGCACCATATTTGTCTACAAAGTGTGCATATTTAAAGCTAAAGTGACAGTTTTGTTATTCGGTCAGTCTCAAATATGTATTTTCTGTTGTTATTTGTTAATTCCTCATATTGTATATTTCAATGCTGAGCTTATTGTTATTGCTGTTGTTATCATTTCTTCGTATAATGTTAATTGATAATTCACTGAACCATTTATGTAAATGTATTGCATGGGTGCCATCTCTGTAGCTTAACCTGTATTTAATGCTGTAAAGTGTGAACTGTGGTTTGCACACTTAGAAAGTTGTTTTGCTTTTTGTTGTTGGGAAGAGAATTACAAGTGAGAGCAAGAAATTTAGTTAGACAAAGTGGTTGCTACCGGACAACGTAATAGAATAAGTGCTTGAGGTTGTTTTCAAGTAGGATCTTGACTCACCATATGAGTTACACCATAACCACCAGTGTGAGCAGGGTTAGTGGAAAAAATAAGAGTGTAAATAACAGGTGTACTGTTCAGTGTTTCGATCTGTACTGCATTACTAGTGTAGGGTGTTTTCTTGGAAGGTAAACTATGTTTGCATTACAAGAATCTGGTCAAAATGATCGTGAAATCACTACCGGCGCATGTTGGAACCAGTGAAGTAGTTTCAAAGTTAAGCATACAATTGTAATAGGGTTTCGGAACTTCATCCGCAGCGCTCCAGGGATATCGCGACATTTTTGCGCTACTTTTTCATTTCTGCCTCGTGAACAACCAAATTTCGAAAGTTGTTATGAATAAATTGGAAAGTGTATTTTCCGTTTTCATAATTAGGTGAAAAGGGATTTTTCCATGTTGCGTTACATGGTATCTTGAATTCCTTGAAAATTCATTTAACAGGTGCTGATATAATAGTTTTTTCGTGTTTTCATCGCAGATTAGCAATTATTCCTACTTAGGTATACACTAATGGTAGACAAATGTTTTATTTTTATATGAAATGGCAAGATTCAGGCATATATCGTCATAAAAATGTATTGTTCGCAAGGCTACCAAGACTGCTTTACAACTAACGATACCATCGTAAGATTTATCGTTTTTCCCATCTTTATCACAATTTCTGCTGATTTTCACTGTTTTGTTCGACTTTTATGGCAGGAATAGATTTATAGTGAAAACATAAGGTGTCCTGAGTGTTGTAAATATTATGTATATGCTATAGATGATAATAACACATACCAAGATGTTAATATCACCTCCTACATTTAGATATATTAGCCACCAGATGATTGTATTGCAGGAAATAAATCATAATCATGCGGTAGAGGTATAATTAAGTGGGGATTTTATCAAAGACCAAGCTAAGATAGCAGTACTACCTCTTGTGTAGATCTACACAAGTATTTGGCTGTACCAAAGCATGTCACTTAGATATGGTTGTGACGTTTTTCTTTTTTAAATTCAGAATTCATGGGATGACTACCTCAATTCTCAATAACCGTGCAATTGTTTTGATGTTCTACCTACATTTCAACAAATATTATTTTTCAAACAGCTTACTTTTTTACTTACATGGGAAACTGTAGAAGTGTTGAGAATGTGTGTTTGAGTGTCAGTGAACTTTTGATTAAATGCACATTCCTTATAAACAATACATCACGTGTTCCTTCTTTTGCAGATAATTTCAAATAACAATGAATTAGCAATTGCATTGGGTATGCAAAACAATGGATGCCTAAGCTTCTGCTCTAGTGTTGTACAATAATACGCCTTACCTTTTAAATAAAAATTTTCAAAAATATGCCGGTTTCCCACTGCATTGCAGATTTATTTTGGTCTGTTGTTGAAAATAAAGGCGAACATAGGAGACCTTTAGGGTTATGTCAGTGGATGGAAAATAGGGAGTTCTGTGTATTTAGGCGAAAAGTAGACAATTCAGCTGACATTTAGGCGAAAATTCGGTAATTTGGCGGATATTTAGGCGAAAAGTGAGTAATTTATCGACAAAACTGCGAAAAACGGGGAAATCCACATTATTTCCCCCGGACAGGCGAAAAAGGCGACATTGTGATGGGTTTTCCCCTTTCGCTACCAAAGCATTTATCCCTTTATTTCCTCTTTTTGGGTTGTCTGGGGAGCTACAATGTTTTGGCTGCCGGTATTATTGCAAAAATATCTAATAGCAGAAATAAGTACTGATATAAAGTTGTCACGAGAAACACTGAAAAATACGATTCGATAGTCAAGATATCTTGATCTAAGGTGACCAGATTGTGTGAGTTCCTATGCGATGATCTTCGGAAATCAACCAAGGCCTGTCTAGCTTACGTGCTAATGCCGTAATTGACAATTACTCATAACTTACATGGGACTACAATAGAATATGCATCAAGAATTGCAGGTTGCACAGGACGATTCAAAGCAAATTCACACAGTAGTCTTTATATATGTTCATCGTCTAAGTTTCCGAAGTGCAACCTTTCCAAAGAATTAAATAATACAATCCGTGTATGTTGTGACCCAGACTTTCCTAAGCAACGCAAGAGATAAAGGAAATAAGCGTGATTGACTATCCAAAGGGTGTGCTAAATGCACTTTCGATCTGTAATTGAATACTGGTTTCCGTTTTTATACTAGTTTCTGATAAACATTTATACTGAAATAAGTTTCCTGTCTATCTTATTTCCAGTTAGCTTCGCAAGCGTTCACAAACCTAACGGGAACAAATCCTGAGAAATAGAAGTTATTTATTGATGGATCATTTGTGCTAGATTCAAACTTTAATAAACGTTTTCATTTATAACGCACCAGTCTTTTAATTACGGCAATTCTTATCTATCGTGACAGGTCGAAATTCGAACTACACCATGTTCAAGGCAGCAGTATTTGGTAAACGGTATGCATGACTAATCGCGTGTGCGCCAAACTGGTAATTATTACACAAGAACGCGAAACAACATCCCTGTCTCACAGCCACATAAGACTGCACAGTTAACTCCCTGCCATTACGCTATAAGAATAAGTCAATGGCCATATAAATGAATTTATGTAAAAGTAAAAAGATTACAATATTAGAACTTCTTGTTATCAAGAAGCATAGCTATGGTCTGTATTAAAAATGGATTCTGACGTTGTAGCTTCATCATTAGCACCGATTGAACTCATCACTTGTGCGCATATGTTTTCCGATGCTTCGAGGCATGAACGGATGAGTTTACTTGCCAAAGGTTCACTAAGAGCATGGATTGAGTGGTAGTTGTTAGTGAACTTCTCTAGCAGATCACCACTCTCTGTAGAGATTGACAAGTTATCCAGCGCACGAAGAACCAAGTCCATTATGTATTTCCTAGTCCACAGGTTGCTATGTCGAAATAAGTCTACAAACCTTATAGGGACAAAGGAACACACACATACCTCCATGACTCAGATCTTTAGAATGTGCATACAGAATATGACCACAGGGCAGCATGTAGTCATTGAAACGCTCACAAGCACATCGTGCACGTAAAGCATCAACAACATACATCATGCCCTTGTCGTAGCACCGGATGTATTCTCCTTCTATAAATGCGTGTTTCATTGTCCGAACACGTTTATAATTTACAGCTACAATTTTAGCTGCAAAAGATGTGAACTCATTTAGAAGAGTTCGAAATGACATTGGAACCTGGAATTAATTATACATTTAACTATATTTCTTACCTGAAGAATTGGAAAATGTTGAAGATCCTTCACAGCATCATAAGGACGCAAACGTAAGTCAATGTCTGTTTAACTCCAAATTTTCCAGAACGTCAATAGCAGGGAATCACCTCTTCTGAGACATTCTTTTAGGTGTTTATGAGCACTTTCGACACGGTTGTTTGTGTGGTTGCCCAGGCTTAATACATGTCGCCGGTAACAGCGAGTCCACATTGACTTCATGGCAATCCAGTAATCTTTTATGTAATCATACGTCCGTGAGAAATGCGTCCTTAGATGTTCGTACTTTCGAGTATATCTGAATATAATACTCTATGAAAAGCGAAGCTCACATATCAGACCGTCTAGTCTTCACAAGGTGTTCCAAGCATTTGAGCACATCAGGATTTCGGAACTACAGAAAATAATTTGTACAGCTAACACATACCTTCCTGAAAAACGCTATCAGGACATGGAATGAACAAAGTATTATGTTAGAATGACTGTGCGTAGACTGCACAGCCGAAATTTCGGTCGCTGCCGAATCCATAATGAAAGTGCGTGTGGCATAAGTACCGCACATTATCTCTATAAAACATTCCAATATTTTTTCGACATCTTCGTGTCGTTCTTGACTGCAAAGAGCATACATAACAGTGTGCCCTTGCCCAAGACTATCAGTCACCACTAGCTGGAACAGTGGAAAACTTTCAGATAAATTTATTACTGATCGTTACTTACCCGACTTTATTGGTCTGATAAGTCAAATCAATACATATTACCTCCGGGAACACGTGGTAAACAGCTATTTGCTCTCTGCGGCTGAAGCAATTCATAGACATGTTCCCATTTTCATTGAATACTTTAACTTCAGTATTTGCTTGAACGCGCTGTAAAATGTCATTGATATTTTTAGTGTCTAAACTCAATTAATTACAATGTGAGTTCAACAACCTGGGTACAACTGTGAACGCATTCTGGCGATATCGTCCTTGGTAAGCTGTTTATTGAACTTCCAAGAAACCAGATACCGTAAGATACGAGTTGGTGTATTACTCAGTAGAAACGTTCTTAAATATATAGTTTCTGATCGCCAATATTCCGGCGATCAGAAACTGTGCTATCTTGACTGATTGGTCGATCGACGCGGATGGATTGATTGAAGATGAATGGAATAAGTTTAAGGCTACATTCGAATCCGTAACGTCGCCGTTTATCCCATGGTCAGCACGTAAGCTATCACATTGCCCTCCATGGATTAATAAGGAAACCCGGAAGCTGTTAAAGCGTAGAAAACATTTCTGGGACTTATTCTTGTTGACAGGTCATGCACCATTTAAGCGTGAGTACCAAAAATACCGTAATATCTGTAAGAAAACCATAGACAAATCTCGTACCACTTACGAACGACAGTTAGTATATGATAGCCGTACTTGTCCGAAACGATTGTTTTCGTATGTTAAACGGCAAATGAAACGTAGTGATAGTATTCCCCCGTTACTGTTACACGACAATTCAGAATTACTAGCTGAATCAGATCGAGCAAAAGCTGAGACTTTTTCAGACTACTTTAGCGAAGTCTTCTCAACGATTATTGTAACAAATACTTGTCCCACTCACACCGAGATACCAACCATCGAATCTGTACAGGTGACTGAGGAAACTGTCCTTCCGTTGATAACTAACCTCACACCTGGTAAGATACCGGGCCCTGACGGGTTACATCCACGGTTGCTGTCATCTCTTGCGGACATTATTTCAAAACCGCTTGCGACACTCTTCAACATGTCCTTCTCACTCGCTCAACTCCCTAGAGATCGGAAGGACGCTATAGTTAGTCCTATATTTAAGGATGGTCAGCGACAGATAGCATCTAACTACCGGCCTGTCAGTCTAACTAGCATAGTCGTTAAGTTACTCGAAAAGATAATTCGGGTTAGGTTGCTAAGCCACATAGATTTACACAATCTGTTAGCTCCTGAGCAACACGGATTTCGTAACAAGCGTTCATGCTTGACTAACTTGCTTATTGCGAGGGAGGATTGGACAGCAGCCCTAGATAACGGTCTGTCTGTCGACGTGATATTCATAGATTTCAGCAAAGCGTTTGACAAGGTTTCACACGTAGGTCTTATGCAGAAGCTCACGAGCTTCGGAATAATAGGTACTGTACATGAGTGGATAGGAAATTTCTTATGTGACCGCAGACAGAGAGTTAGAGTCAATGGAACGCTATCCGATTGGAAGCTGGTCAAAAGTGGTGTACCCCAAGGCACCATCTTAGGCCCTCTGCTCTTCCTTCTCTACGTTAATGATTTACCGCTGTTGCTTAGGTCGTCGACATTATTGTTTGCGGATGATGTAAAAATCTGGAGAACAATAAAAAGTGCGGCTGATCATCTGGATCTTCAAGCTGACTTAGACGATTTAGTTAGATGGGCTCGAGAGTGGGGCTTAGAAATCAATGCTAGGAAGAGTGTGCTAATGCACATCGGTCACGGTAATAGTTACCGTTACACTATTGAGGGTAAACCTCTTCCATGCGTTCAAGAGCATAAAGACTTAGGAGTAATATTAAGTCATGATTTAAAAACAACTAAGCATTGCAAAGCAGCCGCTGTCAAAGGTTTTCGTGCGTCATGGCCACTTCGCCGAACATTCAAATGCTTTGACGAGGAAATGTTTCGAATTCTATATTCCACCTACGTAAGACCACATTTAGAGTACTGTATCCAAGCAGCTAGTCCATGTCTGATAAATGATACTAACTCACTTGAGCGTGTCCAGCGTGTGGGAACGAAATTGGTGAAGGGTCTTTTTAAACTCCCTTACAATGAACGTTTAAAACGCCTAAACCTTTTCCCCTTGTCGTATCGTAGGACACGAGGTGACCTTATACTGGCATTTCGTATCTTTAATTATGATTTGGGTGTTAATATGTCTTATCTTTTTGCTCCCTCCAGCACTATTAGTCTCCGAGGTCATAGCAAGAAGGTTCATAAACCACGATCTAATAAACTTAAAGTGGGATCCCGTTTTTCTCATCGAGTAGTCAATGATTGGAACGCCTTACCCGAACAAGTGGTATCAGCCCCATCAGTGAATACTTTCAAGGAAAAGCCGGACCTTCACTGGAAAGCAATGTGTCAGGATTAACACAGGTTCATCAACCTACTATCCTTATTACTGAAGACTTGAAGTCAACTGTCGTTTCGATGGATCGACAGAAATATATCCTTTTGTGCAAGGACGGTTGCGCACTGTTTTAACAGAGGTGACTTTCAGCTCACCATTTACTGCCCGGACCCAAAATCCAGATTGACAATATTTCGACCTGAAGGATAAATTCATTTGAAGTAAGGCATACGTAGATGGCCGACGTCGTCTCCTTTGCCTAGGTTGTGTTGGTGAGTTAGAATTTGTATGCTCTTCAGATGAATGATTATTACTATTATCATCTACATCCTGAACGCGAGCATCTGACTCTGACGAACTGCGTTTACGTCCATATGTACAGGCATATCTCACGAAAAAGTACTTTAGAGTTGGATCATTACTGTTCTTTTCGCATACTGACGTAACGTACTTAGTATGCGTATACTAAAAAAATAATTATTAACCACAGAGGTCATATTACCTTATGTACTTCTTTCAAACAGGTCTCAAAATTGTTCCAACTTGTAAATCTTCGAGATAACATAATATCATTGAAGATTCGTCCTATATCATGCATCACCACGATGGAATTGTCTTCGTTACTTGAAGAATGAACGTTATCAGACATAGTGTGGCTGAACTCAATTCATATCTAAAAATGTCTTGATTTAACCGCTTCTGAAAATTTTCACGAATTGTCGATGTGACGCACTAATCAATTTGCGATAGTTTGACCTTCAAGTGCTCGCAACCCCCAACATTGGACGATACCCAAGGAGCGTTGCCTAGCGTAACTGGATTCGCGGGAGATCACAATCGAAGTAAGTATGGATGTTTTTAGCACAGTTAAAAAAAAGCACATTAAACAGTCACTGTTACAATTGGTTATAATAATAATTGTTTTCATTAAACCAATCGTATTCTCGTGATAAAAATAAGTCACTACAGGCTTACGAACATTTCACTAGCCTCAAGACCCTATTACTCTGAGAACAATTTATCCACCCGTGAAATCAAACTTACAGCCACGCGTCGAATACATGAGAACTATTTGGGAAGTGTAATCAATTCGTTTATTTTAGACTCCTTTCCCTAGACGACCAAAGATAAATAAATAAGCTTATCAGTTTCACTTTGGGAAGGACAGGAGGCTTTATGGCCCGTGTTAGTCATGGCAATGGTGATCTCTTAGTTCATTCAACTTTCTTTTGAAAAAGTCGGTGGATGGAGCCTTAACTACGTGCTAAGGTAATGTATTCTACTCGTTGATGATTCGGTGGGAAAGTCGATAGTCAGCTGACAAGTCATTTGTTCCGGAGTTGTGAACATTTTGGAGTGTCCTCTTAAATTCTCTGTTTTGGAAGACAAGGAAAATGAGGGCATATCAGGTGCGAATTCGGCACTAAGTAATTTGAAAATTGTAACCAAGTTGCATCTGGTTCCGCGATATGACAACGAGAAAAGGTTCAGCTTGGCCAGTTGAGCATCATACGGGAGCTTCGCTATTCTGGGTATCAGCTTAGTTGTCGTTCTCTGAAGCTTTTCCAGAAGCTCAATGTCTTTTTTTAAGCAGGTGCTGGCCGCTTTTATGCAGTACTGAAGTTTAGGACATACGAACACTGTATACAAAATCAAAAACGTCTTAGCGTCGACATAACTAAAAGCCCTACGTATTGACCATAACGTTCTAAAACTTTTGGCGGCTATTGCAGTAGTCTTTAAGTCTTGGCTAACGATGACTCCTAAGTCATTATGTCTGGACGACAGGTAGCTGTGTTATTCATCGTGTATGTATCTGTACCTTGATGACCGATATGCATCACA